CGATTTTTTCTAGCCTAGATTAAAAAAAAGATTTAACCATTTTTAAGTTTTTAGCAATCACATTAGCTTGTCTGCTGGTAAAAACCTCCATTTTTTTATCTCCCCTTATCGGGAGTCTAAAGGAAAGTTCATAAAACCGCCCAGTTTTCCCGTCTTTTTTAATTTTTGATATCTTACGAACGAACGTGCGGTTGCTATACGACGTATTTCTCTTGCACTTTGTACGGGATTTGTAAATTTTTCGGACAAGCTTTCTGCATTAAATATATAAATGTATGATATTACTTTCATCGTCTTGCGTGTAATTTCATCTTTTATTTTCAACGCTGGAAATAAATATTCATAATCCGATGCACTTTCCAAATAAAAGATAGCAAGTGTACTTCGATCTTCCGAAAACTACTTCGATTTCTTTAAAATGACTATGGATGTCATTAGGTCATTTGTATACCTCCTGTTCTTCTAAATGAATATTTTTAATTCATTCCCAAAATTTTTTCTCAACGGGCTCGTGGCCTGAGAAATGTGCTAAACCATTGTTAAAAAAATGCATTTTTATGGATGTGTAACAATGCACCTAATGACATCAGCCACTAAAATCGAAGTACCACTCTGCATGACAATGCACAAGTTAATAAAAAAAATTGTCCGCAAACCGAAGAGAATGAAGGAGGATAGGCTTGCCACAAATTACGTTTTTATAAAGAGAGACCTAATAAAAAATGCCGATAATGCGCATTGCAGTCCAAGAGCAAAATCCTAGACGCAAAATATACCGAAGAGAAAGGAAAGAACGTAGCTGGGGTGCAAATAATATACAAACATAATCCGGAAGGTAACTTCTTTCTTGCGCCCGGACAGGGTAACGCCGAGAAACAAATGCAGAAGCGAAAATGCACGCATTGGACTCCCTTATGTTTCTGAAAAAACGAGTTGTAGAGTGTGTAGATTGCTCTGCTGCACATGGATGTGCCTCCGTTGCCCTGGTACTCCACTCTGTCTGTCTCTCGCACATTAACGATCGCGAACGGACACAGGAGATTCGTTTCGCTCGAACTTCTGCAAATTTTTCTTTGACAAACCGCGCTGGTAAAACTCGAATGTGCTCTGCAGAACCAACTCTGGGAGCGTTAGGATTAATTTCGAAATTCGTTTTTCTGGGGTGACGGTGGTTGCCGTAGCACTAACTACAAGCGACAAGAAGAGCTGCGATTACATTTTTTTATATTTAATTTTTGATTCTATAAATAGATAGTGTTTCATGTATACTACGCCCAAAAAGTAAAACCATATAACTGTGTTTGAAAGTTTCTTTAAGTGAAACTTGCCGATAGAAATTTATCTTTGACAATATTATTAAAAGTTCCAAAGCGTCCGCGACACCCACATTCAACTACTTTATTATTATTATTATATTATTATTATTATTATTATTATTATTATATTATTACTGAGTGGATGATGCGAACACACAACAAAACCGCAGAAAAATTCTAAAGAGACAATCACTTGCAGTCAGTAGCGTTGTACGCTCCACATTCGAAAGCTTGATCTCGCAGTTCGGACCTGACGAGAGCTCATTCCGTCGTGAACAACGGATTTACTTTTATGTTCAAAAACAGTTAAAAAAACTGTGTGTGACGTGCCATGGTGGAAGTTAATTTGAAGTTTCGTTTGCACGGACTTGCAACGTTGAGTCCCAGCTTCGCCTAGCCCTCGTCCTACAAGTCGCTGCGTGAGAGTATTACTATACGCGCACTGTTCTTGAGATCCGAAATACTTTACTCCCACTTCCTTACTAACATTAGTTGAATTAAGAATAAATGATAAAAAAGAAGAGCGTACAATCTGATAACCAGACATAGTTTTCTTCCATGTAAAGGACGAACTATTTTTCGTCGAAAAAACGAGGTACATAGTTGATATCGTAAAGTTTGTCAAAAGATTTCAAAATCCCCCCACTTCTTCTCGTTTATACCGAAATGACGGGCTCAAGAAAAACGTACGCGGATAGTAGCATTTACAATAACCATCTGAGAATTTTTCGTTGAAATGAAAAGATTTCGATATTGTTAATCCAGACAAGTATCAAGGAAAATCGTTGCTCAAGCTAAGGTAACAGTTTACTGTTGAGAAAGTTTGTGACATTGTCGAAGTAGCCGATAACCAGTTAGTCTCTCACGAACAGTGTCTGACAAACAGGCAGAAAATTCTTGTTCACGAAACTGAGATAGCCCTTATCACACACTATAACCTTAAATCGCAAAAACAGTACTGCGTTTTGTCTGATACAATTTTTTCCCCCTGCAAGCAAATACTTGTTAATTTTCTATCTTATCGCGAGGGAAATCAGCTGACAAAATTCGTAACAAACAATCTAAGCCTTGTATTTTAATTTTTTCTTGAAATAAGTGAAATAAGGAAAACTTTAATCAAGAAAAAATACTTGTTAGTCGTTACCACGGCACGCAACTTTTTCACATTATTTATAATTTTTTGCCAATTTCGAAAAATTATGAGAATTCAACAGAAAGAGACCTGCACCGATTTATTAGCGCCTCTATTCTACCAGGAAAAAAGAGAAAATTGAAACCGTTTTTAGAACTTTTTATAATTTGCATTAACTTCAAACAAAAAATTGCACGAAAAAACTATTGATTTTCTAAGAATTATTCATGAACCTATTTGAAGATATGAAGTTTTGGAAAAAGATTTCGTTGAAGATAAAATTCTTTATCTTCAAATTTGTAGTTTTTTACCAATTTGATAAACTTTCTGCATTTTTGAAAAAATTGAGTTGACTGGAATGGCTCGAGTGACATTATTGACGTGACGCCGCGTCAAAGGCCGTCTCCGGTTATCTTCGTGTCTTTCTGAGCCCTGCTGTCCTTCAAAGCGAAATGACCAGCCTTGGAAGGACCAGTGGTAAGATCGAAACGCCTGCAATCAGACCTTCGACGCGGCTTCATCGGAACAAGGAATGCGACATCAATATCGATATTTTCAAAACATCGATGTTTATTTAGAAATTAGATTTTTTAATATAATGTATTAACGTCGCATGTTTTTCCTTTACGATGTTTTGTTTTCCTGAAAAATTTCATTCAAAACTTGATCATTGAAAAATTCCCGATGACTAGATACAGTAAAGTGTAAAATATGAATATAAACTGAATTGTTTAATACCGTTAAGTCTTGTGTTCGAACCAAAGAACCACTTTGTTCTACGTCACCCTGAGGCGTGACGCCACCCTTGTATTTCCTCTTTCTTCTAATCATTTCGCACAGAAAGTGCTCAACAATGCGCTGAGTCGCTAAATGGGTCGCCCCTTTCTTGTCGTACCCTTTATTCGGCGAATTTGATAAACACGAATACCTGTCAAATTACGTTTCGTTGCATCAGATATTGAGGTTAGAGTTAGAAACCCAGCTTAAAACATCGATGTTTTTGTCTATGTATTATAACATCTGATGTTGCATTCTATGAGAGTTTGTGCCGCCTTAGCTCAAGCGATATCGATTGCGCAGATGCCACTAAAATGGTGCGAAACGTGAACTGCGCACGAGCAGAAGATGGATAGACGCTTTAACGTTCGAGGCGCACAAACTCCCTAGTTGGAATCAAAAAAGCAGTTTGCCATCTCAAACGTTAAAGCACTATTCGATCTGCGCATGCGCAGATGCACTAAAATGTGCGAACTTAAACTCTGCTGAGCAGAAGCATCGATTGCTTAATCTTCAGGTGGCACCAAACTCCCTTTTGGTGCCAGCCTTAGCGTCAGCAATATCGTTGCGCAGATGCACTAAAAATGGTGCGAAACGTGAATCTGCGCATGAGTAGAAGATGATAGCGGCTTAAACGCTTCGAGGCGGCACAAAACCCCCTCTAATCCGTGAAGTCCAGCCACTGCTCGAAGCCAAGCGTTGTCCCGCTGCGCAGGAGGAGCTGCGCTGCCGGCTCCAGCCTGCGCCGCTGCGCCTACTCGGCGCGCTGCATTGCGCCGCCTGCGGCTGCGCGCCGACTTTGCGAGCCCAACTGGGACGCGCTGTGCGGCGTGGGCTGCGCGCAGCGCTTGCAGCGTCCCGGGCCGCCCGCTGCCCTCCGTCAAGAGCGGCGCCGTTGCTCGTGCGGAAACCTGCTCCGCCTCCGGGCAGTGCGTACGCCCACCACCACCCCTGCCCAAAGCCAACCTCATGCCCCATCCATGTCCCCATGGCCAAAGCACCACCCCCCTGCCCAAGACCCACCCATACTTCAAGCCCTATCACCATGTCCAAGCCCCATCCCTATGCCCAAAGCACCACCCCATATTTCAAGGCCCTGATGCTCAAGCATCTTCCCCATCCCCACCAAAAATGCCCAATCCCCATTTCCCATGCCCAAGTATCACCCCAGGCCTCACCCCATGCCCAAGCCCAATCCCCGATGCCGACAACCCTACCCAAGCCCACCCACATTGCAAAGACCCAGCCAATGCCCAAGCCCACAGCCATGCCGAAGCACACGCCCATGCCCAACCTCAATCCTATGCCCAATCCCATGCCCAAGCCACCACCCCATGGCCAAGCTCTAACTCCCATGCCTCACCACCACCCGCTCCCCCCGTGCCTCAATTACCACGCCCAAGTCCCATCCCTTACCATTCCCAAGCCCCTTCCGTTATTTTCCATGCTGAAGCATTACCCCATTTGGCCCAAGCACCCATCCCATTAACCCCAAAGCCCCACTTCATTGCTGTAAGCATCACCGCCTAAGCTCCACCCTCATGCCCCATCCTCAATCCCCCTGCCAAGCACCACCCCATTACTCAACCCTACACCATGTCCAAGCCCCACCGTAATTCCCATTCCCCATCCTCATGTCTAAGCACCACCCCCATACCCAAGCCTCATGCCAAAGCACGCCCCCAGCCCCACACCATGCCCAATTAGAGTCAGCCGAGCCAATAATCAGTCTTCCCAATTTTTTGCTTCCAATCTTAATTATATTTCTCGCTCACCAGGTAGTTCTCGGGAGAAGGGAGCACGAGCCCATGGTATTTTCCAAGACAACAATACAAATTATTCATATTTGCATTTTGTGTACGATCAGGAGGCCCACTCTTTAAAAAAACATGAACAACCGTGAATAAATCAGGAATTAACTGATTTTGAAAAGTTCTAAGAAAAATCAGGAAATTAGTTAGAAGAGCTCAGTAAGAAAGTCAGACAAAATTTTCAAAGGCTTATAAAACGAAGATATTATCATTGAAACCTTCAGTATCCAACATGTATTTGTTGTGGAGAAAAAGGAGTTGTTTCTAACTTCTCCTGAACTGACTGCGGAGATTGAAAAAGTCTTTAACTAACTTGGTGGATGGGGCTCGCCGGCGTGAACCTATATTTTCATATTTTAGGGAGAAACCGAATATCACAATGCTTCCCACCTCCGCGTTCTAACTTCCATCAATTCGTTTTATAGTTTGGTGACAAAGTAAAATTATTTACATTTCATGAATAATATTTCTTACCCGCACGTGTAAACTATCTGTATGCATTAGGTCGTTCGTGATCATGTAATGTTGGTATTTATTTAGGATCGGATTATTACGACCTTAGCAGCAGCGGTGTTCCCAGGCCCGGCATTCTACTTTTATTTATTATCCTGGGAGTATGGGAGATATCGGGCGATCATGACGTTTTACCATCACCAAACCTAGCATACTCGGAGCTGTCTAAGCTTTATCTTTATATCACACAGCTATAAGAAAAACTTGAGACAATTTGATATTAGGAAAAGCTACTTTCCCATTTTGTCCACACAAGGCCGGAATTGGAATTCGGACAATCTCCACAGAAAGCTAAGCATTACTGGCCATGGACCCCCCCCCCCCGAGGAGCTGATAAAAACATGCATTTTTAAAAAAATTGGACTAAACTAAAAGTCCGAGAAAGGACGGACACGCATTTCCTCTCAGCCCCCGCTTCCACATTTTTTTTTTTGCCAGGAGCCCATGTACCCTGGTTGTTGGAAAACGCTATACCGTGAAAATTGCAATCCACCATATTTATAATTTATTTACCGTCAAAACAGTTAAAAACTAGTGTGACATGCAAATGGAAGAAGTGAATTAAGTTAACATTTTAATATAATGTACATATTAGAATACCGTGAGTGTTTTTGCTGTGAAATTCACCGTTTCAAAAATGTTCTAGTTTGGAATTGGAGGCAGTTCGGTCTTAGTTGCCATCTCGTGTTTCTATTACGCATGGTGCAGGTACGACTGCCGACGCTTCACGCCGAACTGGCCAAAAGGGCGGTCATGCGCCTTGGTGCTGCGGCAGGGTCACGCGAATGAAGAACCTGCGGAGAAGCTACATCACTGACACACGCAGCCTCCAACAGCTCACGATCAGGTAACATGAGTTGTTGTTTATTGTTATTATTGTTCTACTAAGAATTGTAACTTTTCTTAATTTACTGCAACAGGCAAACGATAATCTCAAAGATCCTGACTCCCCCGTTGTAATTGATTATTAAATATACTCGTGACTTGTTTTTAGTAAAATACTTTCATTATTTGTCCATAAAAATTAGTTTTAAATATTACATAACAGTGTCATATTGAACTAATTATCCGAAAAGAATGATGTTAATTTGGTATTAAATTAATAGTTTCTTGTTTTTGGAGCAAAAATACTCATATTGTGCATAAAAATAATCTGTCTAAATATTATTTAACAGTTTCATTGATGAACTAATGTCGAAGAATTGATGTAATTTAGTATTAAATAAATTAGATAATCTTGTTTTTTGAACAATATACTTCATATTTGTGCATAAAAAATTTGTCTAAATATTACATAACAGGTTCATTTTGGAACTAATGTCGAAAACAGAATTGATGTAAGTGTATTAAAATAATAGTTTTACTGGTATTTTGAGCAAAAATACTTTCATATTTGTGGCAGTAAATATCTGTCTAAAATATTATATAAACAGTTTCATTATGAACTAATTGTTCGAAGGAATTATGTATTTGTATAAATAAATTAGTATCTTGGTTTTGAGCAATATACTTCATATTTGTGCATAAAAATTGCTCTAAATATACATAAACAGGTTCATTTTGAACTAATTTCGAAAAGAATTGATGTATTGGTAATAAAATATATATTTCTGTTTTTTGAGCAATATACTTAATATATTGTGCATAAATATCTGTCAAATTATTAACGTAACAGTTTCCCATAAGTGATTGCGGAGGAAAAAAAAGGCGGAGTCTTTTTTTTTGTTGTGTATGGTGTGTGTGCGCAGTGGCGGACCGGGTAGCGGAGTTACTTTCGCCAGCGTGGCCGGCCGGGGCGCGCCCCGGCGGCGAGACCCGTCTTCCAGCCACGCGACGCGCGCCCTCGCACCACAGAGGCCGTAAGGCCCCCGCCCCCCGGCGCCCCCACCCCACCCCCGCCCCCCAACTAGCGCTGAACGGAGCCCCCTCGACTGGCCGGGATCGCGAGCAAACTTGCATTCGCCCGAACGAGACCGACGGCGAAAAAAAAACACGCCGGCCCCTTTAAAACCGACCGCTATATCCCACATTTA